CATTTCACTTGAACCTGGGAGGTGGAGATTGCCAGTGAGCCAATATCAACCCTGCTACTACACGCCTGGGCAAAAAGAGCAAATAACTTGTCCTCAAAAAAAAAAAATGAAAAAAAAAAAAGCCGGGTGCATGGCTGTGCACTGCCTTGAATCTCGCTAACACTTTGTGGAAGGGCTGTAGGAGGGGCAGTATCACATGAGGGGTCAGGAGTTTGAGGACCAGCCTGGCAACATGGCAAAACCCCATCTCTTACTACAAATACAAAAAATTAGCAGGCATGGGTGGTGAGATGCTTGTAATCCCAGCTACTCAGGAGGCTGAGACAGGAGAATTGCTTGAACCCGGGAGGCAGAGGTTCCAGTAAGCCAAGATCATGCCATTGCACTCCAGCCTGGGCGACACAGCAAGACTCTATCTCAAAAAAAGAAAAGAAAGAAAGAAAGAAAGTAGGCTAAGGTATTAACAGTAGGTATGTTTGGATAGTCAGATTATAGATGACTTCTATTTTATTTTTTCCAGATTTCCATACTTTACAAATGCTTCACATATTACTTTTATAATCATAAAGAAGTTAAAAAATAAAACTTACTGAGTGTCGACTAAGTGCCAGGTCTTCAGAAGCATAGATGAAGAGCATGAAGAATGCAAATTCATGCATCAGGCTGGGCATGGTGGCTCACGCCAGTAATCACAGCCCTTTGAGAGGCCAAGGCAGGTGGATCACTTGAGGTCAGGAGCTCAAGACCAGCCTGGCCAACACGGTGAAACCCCGTCTCTACTAAAAAAATACACAATTTAGCCAGGCATGGTAGCGGGTGCCTGTAATCCCAGCTACTTGAGAGGCCGAGGCAGGAGAATCACTTGGAGGCAGAGGTTGCATTGAGCCAAGATCACACCACTGCACTCTAGCCTGGGTGACAGAGTGAGACTCTGTCACTCTGTCTCAAAAAAAAAAAAAGGACTTCATCAGTGGGCTTAGTCTAGCCTGGTTATAAACTCCTGCTTGTGGCCTCAGCAACTTGCCTAGTGCTCCCGTGGGCCTAAGCCCTGTGAGGCTGAAACCCAGGTCAAAGTCATGTTCTCCAATCTAGAGCTGGGTGTCTCTCTCACTTCCTTTGAGCAGCAATCACCTTTACCCTGATTTAGACCAAGCCAAGCTTGCTATGCTGAGGTAACTTAGCTTATCACCAAGGTTATATTTAACAGACTGCTGAAAGGATTATAAAAAATTATGAGGATTTGAACTATCACCCAATGCCTCTGTCTGTTGGCACAGAAAAGTCTAAAGCTTGATTTTGTGAACCTTGAGATGATCTTCCTCCAGCACTGCAAATTTAATCCTTCTCATCTAAAACTCCCATTCTAATGCCCCGCTGTGCTCCTGTCCCTGCAGAGCCCTCCAGCTCACCCTCCTGCAGTTGTCTTCCCTGCAACTGAGTCCTCTGCAACACATATTCCATTGTAGACAAGCAACTCTCCTCTTTCAAGTACATCCCTGGCTGTTCTCTCCATCTCCTTTCCTTGACAGAGATCTGGCATCCTTCTGAGCACTCCACTTGCCTCATGGCTCTGTCTCTCAAGTGAAGGCTACTCATTTTGCACTATCCATGATTTTGAAAGCCAAGAGCTGAGCAGGCTCTCAGCATTCTTCTTGCTTCCCACTGCCATTTCTAAATCATAACTCCTTCACCTTCACATACGTAAAAGACCTGCTCAGGTTTGTGCTGTGCCCTCCTGGTTGCTGTTACCAACATCTGCCTGGTTGGTGATCCACATTCTGTGAGCTCTCTGACGCCCAGCCCAAGGTGCTGGTGACTTTTGTGCTCAGGAAGATGAGTAGTGCTATACCTTAGCCTTGCAGTACTTGACCTTCACCTATGCTTCACACTCTTGCTGCTGAGGACACACCCTGGGCCACTCATCAGTCACGACAGCTCCATCTCATTCTAGGACCTTTTGTTTTTCTCCCAATCCTTCAGCTCTCATCTGATATCATTTCCTTTCCCTTCCAGTTTATACCTTGTGATCCCTCCAGCCCATTCACACTCTTGCCACTACCCCAGTCCTTTTGTTTACTAGTCTTGCAAAGTCTAAGCTCACAATAAGTCAAACCATTTTACTCTTGACTCTCAATCCAGGATGCTGACTTAAGATACAAGAGAGAAGGGGGACTGTTGATGGGTGCGAGGAAATGTGGGTTGAGAGAGTAACAAGTGGGCTGAGGGTCCAATTGTGATTGGAAATGTAAATGTGTCGAGACACCAACTCACATGGTTGTGTGATTTCCTCCACTGACCCAGGGTAGGAGTACAGTGACCAAATGGTAGGATTTGGGGCCTTGCAGTAGAGGTGAATGGAACGACAAGACAGTGAAGGAACTGAGATAGACTGAAGCAAAGGACGATAGTAGTATCTAAATTGAAGAGGAAAGGGAGTAAAAGCATAACTTCTGTTGGGCCTAGTATGTATATTGTATCCATCTACTTTCTTTTTCTTTATTTGGGGTGTATGGGAACCTGGCACAGTGTTAATAAGACCCAGAGTGTTCAGAAGAGAATGCAAGCCAGGCTACCGAAGGTGGCAGGTATAGCACCATCTCTCCCATGCACAAATGTGACTGCGGTGACATGGAGATCTAAAATGATCTAATGCAGTCAGTTGATAAGGGCTCAGGGCTAGATTTCATCTTTCAGGGTAATAAGTTGTAGCATCAGTAATTGAGAGTGCAGGCTTGAAGGCAGGGGGCTACTTTCCAAGAACCCCAGGGGATTCCTGAAACCTCAGATAGTACTGAACACTATATATACTAGGTTTTTTCCTATACATACATACCTAAAATAAAATTTAAGTTATATTATGCAGAGTAAGAGATTAATAATAGCTAATAAAATAGAATGATTGTAACAATGTGCTGTAATAAAAGTCATGCAAATGTGCATCTCTCTCTCACAGAATATTTTATTTTACTGTACTCACCTATTTGGTTTACCCAGTTGGCCGTAGGTAACTGAAACTGCAGAAAACAAAACTGTGGATAAAGGGGTATTAGGGTTTTCCAAAGAAACCCAACTAATAGGATTACAGATATATGTATATATCAATAGGAGGAGATTTACTATGTGAACTGGCTTATGTGATTACAGAGGCTAAGAAGTCCCATGACATGCTATCTGCAAACTGGAGAACCAGGAAAGGTGATGGTGTAATTCAGTCCAAGTCTGAAGGACTGAGGGGAAAAGGGTAAGGTGTAAGTCCCAGAGTTGGAAGATTCAAGAACGA